AGCTCACAGCAACCTCAAACTCTTGGGCTCAAGCAATTCTTTTGCCTCAGCCTCCCAAGCAGCTGAGACTACAGGCACCCGCCACAACACCCTGCTATATTTTGTTTGTTTGTTTGTTTGTTTGTTTAGCAGGCCCAGGCTGGTTTCAAACCCACCGGACCATGTAGCCAGTGCCCTAACCACTGATCTATGGGCACCCTCTAGCAATCCTTTTTTAAATGTCAGAGCACTGTATATGTGTAAGGGTGAATGTGTGTATGCATGCCTGTGCACGTGGGTACTGGGTTACAATATAAAATGTATGTCTTGGGCGATACCTGTAGCTCATTGGGTAGGGCACCAGCCACATACACCAAGGCTGGCCTGTTCAAACCTGGCCCGGGGCCAACTAAAACAATAATGGCAACAAAAACAACAACAAAAATAGCCATGTATTGTGGTAGGTACCTATAGTCCCAGCTACTTGGGAGGCTGAGGCAAGAGAATCACTTGAGCCGGAGAGTTGGAGGTTGCCGTGAACTGTAACGGCATGGCACACAACCCAGGGTGACAGCTTGAGACTCTGTCTCAAAAAATAATAAAATAAAATGAAATAAAATGTATGTTTTATTCATGATCTGATCCAAAAGTGGAGAAGGGGCAGCTGGAGCCCATTTAGGCCAGGGGGTCTCTGATGAGAGGCTGAGGGAGGGATTCCAAGAGCAGGCCCTGGACCTGAAAGGAGAACGCTAAGGCGAAGGCCGCTGGCAGGTAGTGCCGGGAGGAGACAGAGCTGGTGGGACAGCCTGGGAGTCGGTGGCAGGAAGGAGAACCTGACGTGCTTCCTCTATCCCTCCCAGGCCTCTTTGGCTTTGTGATCCTCTCCCTGCTGCTGGTGCCCATGTACTTCATCCCTGCCGGCTCCTTCAGTGGAAACCCTCGGGGGACACTGGAAGACGCCCTGGACGCCTTCTGCCAGGTGGGCCGGCAACCGCTCATCGCCCTGGCGCTCCTGGGCAACATCACCAGCATCGCCTTCTTCAACTTTGCCGGCATCAGCGTCACCAAGGAGCTGAGCGCCACCACCCGCATGGTGCTGGACAGCTTGCGTACCGTCGTCATCTGGGCACTGAGCCTAGCATTGGGCTGGGAGGCCTTCCACGCGCTGCAGATCCTTGGCTTCCTCATCCTGCTGATGGGCACCGCCCTCTACAATGGGCTGCACCGCCCACTGCTGGCCCGCCTGTCCCGGGGCCGGCCCCTGGCGGAGGAGGGCGAGCAGGAGGGACTGCTGGGTGGCACCCGGACCCCTATCAACGATACCAGCTGAACCTCCCTTGAGGCTCTTGCTGCGACCAGGGTGCTCCTTCACCCTGAGACTCAGACCACACAGGCTGGTGGGCCTCGAGCACCCTGCCCCCACAGACCCCCAGGGCAGCTCCTGCCGCAGAAGAGGACACGATACCCAAGTCCTCTTTTCTAGAAACTCTACGCGGAATGGAGTTGCCCAGCCCCCACAGGCCTCTGAGCCCCTCCTTCAGCACTAACACTAAATCGGGAAGTTGAATTTCAGGAACTTATAACTCTAGTATTTCTGGATCATAAACTATGTTATCATAACAGACTACCTAGTTTTTGATAAGGTACCTAGTTTGATACCTAGTTTTGATAACCAAATAAGCTAGATTTGGTTCTTAGAAGAAAGTCAGTGAACAAGTTTAAACCGGGACTAAATACTGTATTTTCTAAAACTGGTAAGATATTCCCTAACACTGTCTGGAATCGTGGGTTTCAGCCCAGACTCTCAGGCAAACTCAGAGTCTGCCCCCCAGCATGTCACCTAGTTGGCCTGTGCCTTGATGTTACCCCTCTGGAAAGTGTTGGCGCTGTGGCCTTTGGTCCCTCTGGCTCCAACATCCCATGGCCTATAATCATGACCAGCCTAAGGAAAGAGGAGCAACCCATTCACCAGAGTCCCTCCACCATGGCACCTCCCCTCTGGTGCCTGTTTGGTGTCTTTGCTCACATCCCCCCCTTGCACCCCAGCAGGCCTCCCAGCCCTGGATTAATAACTAAGAGAGTTCCAGCCCTTGGTAATTGTTTTGTAAACTGTTTACCTTAATTTTTAAAGATAAAGAAACTGAGGCCCTAACATGTAAGTTGTTTGGCAAAAGGGGTCTCTTGGTCAGTTCTGACCCAGGACTTTGGGGAGGCCCAAGCATTGCAGCCACATGATGCTGCAGCAGACTGGGACCCAGAGCACATCTGGGGCTCAATCCCACCCCCAGCATCCTGCCTGCATGGGGAAGCCTGGGGATGTTGGACTCAGCAGGATTTAACTGTTTGGAGTAATGCCAGTACCATAGGTCTTGTGTCCAGTGCTCAACTTAACAAACTCTCCTAACAGCCTTCAGTGGGTGCATATGAAGAAACTGCAGCTCAGAGAAGGTGAAGAGACTTCCTCCTGGAGCCAGTTCCAACCTAGATTTGCTCCAGACCTCTGACCCACCTGCCATATGGGCCTCTGTAGGGTCTTCAGGATGGGTTTTCTAATCCAAGTCCAGGAGCCTCAGGTACTATTGTCCTCCCAGTAACCCTACCCAGAGGAGAAGGGAGGGTAGGACCCCAGGGAGCTGGGTAGCTCTCAGTTGCAAGGGTTGGTGTGCAGCCTCAAGCCATTTTCCCTGGGCAGCTCAGTCATAAAGCACCTAATGCCTTCCTTAAAATAGCCTTTGAGCAAGGGAGCTTTTGACAAGCAAAGCCATCATGTGGGATTTCAGCAGGTATTTAATATGTTTTTTTTTTTTGGTAGAGGGTGGCAGTCCATTCCACCAGCTCTGAGATCCAGGGGTCCCTGAGCTTCTCTGGGCTTCTTCTCTGGGTGTCTGTCACAGGAAGAAAGAAACACAGTGAGGGTGGTGCAGACTACAGCTGCTTTGTTTTGGACTTTCATTTTTAATAAAAGAAAGGGAAAATTGGCAGTATTAGGCTTTTTTTTAAAGAGAAGGGGCACAAGAGGATGCCCAGGGGTAGAGTCTAGAATGTTGGAATGGAAAAGCTCTGATGTACAAAAGCTTGCAAATCACCTAGTTCTCCACTGTTCCCATGAAGAAACTAAATCCTAGGAAAGAAAAGGTCACACAGCAAGGATGGGGGGGTCTGTCTTTTTCTCTTCATTGAGTTCTTATTCATTTTCTCTCCAGTTTCTTCAGCAGTTGATTACTTTTGGTCAGGGTACAGTCATTACCACATAACAATGTTTGGTTAGTGACAGTCTGCATATATGACAGTGGCCTCATAAGATTGTTTATAATGGAGCTGAAAGACTATCACCCAGTGACATCTTTTTTTAAGAGAGTCTCACTCTGTTGCCCCAGGCTGGAGTGCAATGGTGTCATAGCTCACAGCAACCTCAAACTCCTGGGCTTAAGCAATCTTCTTGCCTCAGCCTTCCAAGTAGCTGAGACTACAGGTGTGTACTAGCTGGTTTTTCTATTTTTAGTAGAAATGGGGTCTCGCTCTTGTTCAGGTCAGTTATAAACTCCTCAATTCAAGCAACCCATAAGCCTTAGCCTCCCAGAGTGCTAGAATTACAGGCATGAGACACCTCGCCCAGCCAGCCCAGTGACATCTTAAAGATCTTGACTCTATGACCCTACATAGGCCTACCTGTGTGGGTATATGTCTTAGTTTTTAACAAAAAACAGTTTAAAAAGTAAAAAAGTTTAAATGGGGCAGCACCTGTGCCTAAAAGGAGTAGGACACTGGCCCTATATACTGGAGGTGGCGGGTTCAAACCCAGCCCCAGACAAAAACTGCAAAAAAAAAAAAAATTTTTTTTAAATGGAAAAAAACTCAGAATAAGGATATGAGAAAAGAAAGTATTTGTGTGCAGCTGTACAATGTGTTTTAAGCTAAGTATTATTACCAAGAGTCAAAAGGTTTTAAAACATTGAACAGTTTATAAAGTAAAAAGTTACAGTAAACTAAAGTTAATTTATTATTAAAGAAAAAACGTTTTTTATAAATTGAGTATAGTGTAAGCATACAGTGTTTATAGTCTACAGGGTTGTACAGCAACCGCTTAGACCTTCACATTCACTCACCACTATCTCATTGACTCACTCAGAGAATCTTCTAGTCTTAAAAATGTCATACTATGGTTTTACTTACCTTTTTTAGTTTAGATACACAAATAGTTATCATTGTGCTATGGTTGCTTACAGTATTCAGTACAGTTACCTGCTATGAGTTTATAGCCCAGGAACAACAGGTCATACTCTACAGCCCAGTGTGCAGTGAGCTCTGCACTCCACGTTTGCGTAAGTGTACTCTGATGTTCGCACAACAGAATTTCCTAACAAGGCACTTCTCGTTGTTAAACAATACATGACTGATTAATAAGGGTTATATTATGATTTCAAAGTTACTGGGGTACTTGGAAAACTTTTTTTTTTTTAGATAGTGTCACTCTGTCCCCCTGAGTAGAGTGCTATGGTGTCATCATAACTCACAGCAACCTTAAACTCTTGGGCTTGAGCAATCCTCAGCCTCAGCCTCCTGAGTAGTTGGGATTGCAGCCCTGCACCGCTATGCCCAGCTAATTTTTCTATTTTTAGTAGAGATGGGGGCTTGCTCTTGCTCAGGCTGGTCTCAAACTCCTTAGCTCAAGCAGTCCACCCACCTCAGCCTCCCAGAGTGCTAGGATTACAAGTGTGAGCCACAGCACCCAGCCCGGAAAGCTGTTTTATAATTGGGAAATTGATTTAGAGAAAGGGATGGGTAGCACAGGGGTAAAATACCATTTTAGTGGGCAGAGACATGTTCCAAGTAGAATTTTCTTCTAAGCTTGATCGTACACATTATGTTTATAAATATTTGGGATTTGGCCAGAGGACAATGAGTTCACTGTGAGGTTGATTTGGGACATGGAGAAAACTGCTGAGGGTATGTGAGGGCAGGATGGAAGCTGGGAGGAGAAGCCTGGGTAAGTGTCAATAGCTCACCCAGAAACAGCAGTTTTTTTGTTTGTTTGTTTGTTGGAGACAGAGTCTCAAGCTATCACCCTGGGTAGAGTGCTATGCCATCCATAGCTCACAGCAACCTCAAACGCTTGGGCTTAAACAATCCACTTGCCTCAGTTTGCCGATTTTTATTAGAGACAAGGTCTCCCTTTTGCTGAGGCTGGTCTGGAACTCATGAGCTCAAGCAATCTACCTGCCTTGGCCTCCCACAGTGCAGAAAGAAGAGTTTTAACAGAGCCATAGGCCATGGCAGTGTCTGCAACTCTCAATTCCCACAGTACTGTGCTGGGCTCCTTGCAAGGCATCTGTGTTTTTCCTACTTCTGCAGGGATTTTTAAATAATTATTCATGCATTCTGCTTCCACAGCACCCCACACTGCCTTTTCTGTGCTAAGTCTGGGCTCTGGACCTCAACTGAGGAGGAACATCCCCACTGTCACCTGGTGGGGCTTCCTGCCAGGCAAACTTTTAACTGGCATTATTGGAATATTTAATGCATTTTACCTCAGTTTTTTTTTTTTTTTTTTTTTTACAAAAATGAGTAGAGGCTGGGTGTGGTGGCTCACACCCATAATCTTAACCCTTTGGGATGATGAAGCAGGAGGATCACTTGAGGCCAGGAGTTGGTGACCAGCCTGAGCAAAGCAAGACCCTGTCTCTACTAAAAATAGAAAAATTCAGGCAGTGCCTGTGACTCAAAGGAGTAGGGTGCCAGCCCCATATGCTGGAGGTGGCAGGTTCAAACCCAGAGCTAGCCAAAAATATGGGCGGTGCCTATGGCTCAGTGAGTGGAGCACCAGCCTCATATACCAAGGGTGGCGGGTTCAAACCCAGCCCCAGCCAAAACTGCAACAACAAAAAATAAATAATAAAAAATAGAAAAATAGAAAAATTAGTCAGGAGTGGTGGTGCATGCCTGGAATCCCAGCTACTCAGAAGGGTGAGGCAGGATTGCTTGAACCTAGGAGTCTGAGGTTGCAGTGCATTATGATGACACCACCGCTGGGGCGACAGAGTGAGATCCTGTCTCAAAAAAGAGTAGAAGATGGAAAGATGAAAATGCTGTTTGTTCAGGCAGTGCCTGTGGGTCAGTGGGTAGGACACTGGCCTCATATACCAAGGGTGACGAGTTCAAACCCAGCCCCAGCCAAACTGCAACAAAAAATAGCTGGGTATTATGGTGGGCGCCTGTAGTCCCAGCTACTGGGGAGGCTGAGGTAAGAGAACTGCCTCAACCCAGGAGTTGGAGGTTGCTGTGAGCTGTGTGACACCATGGCACTCTACCAGGGTGATAAAGTGAGACTCTGTCTCTACAAAAAAAAGAAAGAAAGAAAATGCTGTTTGGTGATAAACACCAAACTCATAACAATACAATTGTTATGCAAATGTAATTGTTAGGCAGGTGAAGGCAAGAGAAACTTCCTGACCTTTTGTGAAGATACTCACTGAAGCCAGCCATTGTACGTTCAGTATGAAGAGAAAGAACATAACTGAGTATTAAGGACATGAGGGAATATATCCACAAATACTGCCTTAAAGGGAAGAGGAAATTAGAAGTTTGAGGTCTTTTAGCTTCCTAGAAATGAAATCCAGCTGTAATTTTATCATTTCACTTTACCACATTGAACTTTTTATGAATTCAAGAATGCATCCTTGGACAGCATGGTGGCTTATGCCTGTGATCCTAGCACTTTGGGAGGCCTAGGTGAGTGGATTGACTGAGCTCAGGAGTTCAAGACCAGCCTGAGCAAGAGCGAGACCTCATCTCTAAAAATAGTCAGGCATACTGTCTATAGTCCCAGCTACTTGGGAGGCTGAGGCAAGAGCATCACATGAGCCCAGGTGTTTAAGGTTGCTGTGAGGTATGACACCAGAGCACTCTACAGAGAGTGACAAAGTGAGACTCCGTCTCAAAAAAAAAATAATAACAAAATGCATCCTTTATTAAGATAATGGTCTGAATACTAGACCCAAAACTTTTTTTTTTTTTGAGAGAAGACTCTTGGGCTCAAGGTATCCTCAGGCCTCAGCTTCCCTTTCCCAAGTAGCTGGGACCACAGGCAACTGACAGGGCACCTAGTTATTTCTCCTTTTTTTTTTTTTTTTTTTTTGCAGTTTTTGGCTGGGGCTGGGTTTGAACCTGCCACCTCCAGCATATGGGGCCGGCGCCCTACTCCCTTGAGCCACAGGTGCTTCCCTATTTTTCCTATTTTAATAGAGACAGGGAGTCACACTTGCTCAGACTTGTCTCAAACTCCTGAACTCAAGCAATCTACCTTGACCTCCCAGAGTGCTAGGATTACAGGTGTGAACCACCACCCCTGGCCAGAACCAAAAACTCTTAAAACTCTTTAAGGGCAGAGGCTTGCTTACAGGCAGTTCAACAATTTCATATAGGATCAAATGAGTAAAGTGGGGAGTAATGACTTACGCCTAGTCCCAGGTACCCAGGAGACTGAGGAGGGAGGATCATTTGATGCCAGGAATTGGAAGCTTTAGTGCATTATGATCAACACCTATAAATAGTCACTGCATTCTAGCCCGGACAACAAACGTAGTGAGACCCTGTCTTTAAAATAAATAAATGAAAATAAATAAATGAAAAAGTAAAAATATTAAAAAAAGAATGACTAAAACAATTTACAATAAAACTGAATAGTTGAGTTTTGAAAGAAATCTGTTTTCACAATTTTTTGTTTTTTGAGACAGAATCTTACTATGTCACCCTCGGTAGAGTGTTGTGGCATCACAGCTCACAACAACCTCAATCTCTTGGGCTTAAACAATTCTCTTGCCTTAGCCTCCCAAGTAGCTGGGATTACAGGCACCGGCCACAATGCCCGGCTATTTTTTGTTGCATTTGTCATTGTTGTTTGGCAGACCCAGTCTGGGTTTGAACCCACCAGCCTCAGTGTGTGTGGCCAGTATGCTACTGGCACCAATGTTTTCACAACTTTATTTTTGAGACAGGGTCTTGCTTTTTCACCTTGCTAGAGTGCAGTGTCATCATTATAGCTCACTGCAACCTCAGACTCCTGGACTCCAGCAGTTCTCCTGTCTCAGCCTCTCAGTGTTAGTATTACAGGCATGAGCCACCGTGCCTGCCCTATTTTCACTTTTTAAAATAAGACTCTTAGCTATACATAGTGGCTCATGCCTGTAATCCTAGCCCTCTGGGAGGCCAAAGAGGATGGGTTGCTTAAACTCAGGAGTTCAAGACCAGTCTGAGCAACAGCAAGACCCCATCTCTACTAAAAATAGAAAAATTAGCTGGGCATTGTGGCAGTTGCCTGTGGTCCCAGTTATTCAGGAAGCTGAGGTCAGAAGATCACTTAAGTCAGTGGTTCTCAACCTTCCTAATGCTGCAAACCTTTAATACAGTTCCTCATGTTGTGGTGAGGTGACCCCCAACCATAAAATTATTTTCATTGCTACTTCATAACTGTAATTTTGCTACTGTTATGAATCATAATGTAAATATCTGATATGCAGGATATATTTTCATTGTTACAAAGGGGTTGTGACCCACAGGTTGAGAACTGCTGTGTCTTAAGCCCAAGAGTTTGAGCTTACTATGAGCCATGATGCCAAGGCACTCTAGCCTGGGGCAACAGAGTGAGACTCTGTCTCAAAAAAATAAATAAACAAATAAGTAAAATAAGATTCTTTCATTGGGAAAGTTTCTGTATGGAGAAGTGGATAGGGAAGATAGGAATAGAAAAGCTGTGCACCCCAAGGACGTTTTGACTAGCCAGCTGAAAAGGCATCACAGCCTTGCATTGCAACCTTGCTACCCAAACTGCCCCTGGCATGTGGCTCAGGTGGTTCTTTGTTGTTATAATCCCACTCCTGAGGCCAAAATCATAATCTGTTACAGGACTCCATTGCTCACTAAGCTAGGACTCACAGGAAGCATTCTTGTCACCTGTCATGACAACCGGCACAGATGACTCAAGTTGCAAACCCCTGTGCTCCCTTTTCCTGAGAAGGATGATTGACACATACATATGTGTGTCTTTGTTTTGACCAAATAAATAGTCTCTCTACTGATAGATTTATTCCTCAGTGGCTGCTGATGGCTCTGGCTCCTTCACAGAGTTTTTTGTTTTTAGAGACAGTCTCACTTTGTCACCCTTGGTAGAGTGCTGTGGTGTCACAGCTCACAGCAACCTCTAGCTCATAGGCTCAGGTAATTCTCTTGCCTCAGCCTCCCGAGTAGCTGGGACTATAGGCGACCACCACAATGCCCAGTTATTTTTTTGTTGCAGTTTGGCCAGGACCAAGTTTGAACCAACCACCCTCAGTATACGGGGCCATCACCCTACTCAGTGAGCCACAGGCATCACCCTCCTTCACAGAGTTTTATAAGTATTATACCTGTCCCATCCACCATCAATTCTACTAGGGTAGAAAGCTCAATAGGTGCTCCATATGGGATGAGAAAAGAATTTCTCTAGACCAAGAGTAAGATACAAAAATACAAACTTTGTTTTATCCTCTTAGAAGAAGAAAGGGAGTGAAAGAGGGAAAGAGAGGGCCAGGCTGCTAGCTCACACCTGTAATCCTAGCACTCTGGGAGGCTGAGGTGGGTAGATCCCTTGATGTCAGGAGTTCAAGACAAGCCTGAGCTAGAGTGAAACCCTGTCTGTAAAAAAAATAGCCCTGAGCTGTGGCCGGTGCCCATAGTCCCAACTGCTAGGAGGCTGGAGCAAGAGGATCCTTTGAGCCATTTGAGATTACTGTGATGCCACTGCGGTGCTGACGGCAACAAAGTGAGACTGTCTCAAAAAAAAAAAAAAGAAAAATTAAGGCTCAGCACCCGTAGCACTGCGGTTATGGCTCTACTAGGGAGGCTGAGGCAAGAGAATCACTTAGCCCAAGAGGTTGAGGTTGCTGTGTGCTGTGACACACGGCACTCTTATCGAGGGTGATATAGTGAGATTCTGTCTCAAAAAAATTAATTAATTAAAAATAAATAAATCCCCCTACATGGATTGGGGGGCATGGAACATGTTGGGGGGCATGGACATGTTGGGGGGCATGGAACCCCCAACAGGGTTCCATGAATTCATTGATTTTATAATTAACTTTTTTTGGTTGTTGTTAGTGATAGTATCTCACTTTGTCGCCCTTGATAGAGTGCTGTACCATCAGAGCTCACAGCAACTCTTGGGCTCAAGCGATTCTCTGGCATCAGCCTCCCCAGTGGCTGGGACTGCAGGCGCCTGCCAGAACGCCCAGCTATTTTTTTGTTGCAATTGTTATCATTGTTGTTTAGCAGGTCCGGTCCGGGTTCAAACCCACAGCTCCCCTGTATGTAGCGGCGCCCTAACCACTGAGTACGGCGCAGAGCCACGCCTGAGTTATTTTTTGAGACGGAGTCTCACTCTTGCTTAGGCTGGTCCCGAACTCCTGAGCTCAGGCAATCCACCTGCCATTGTCTCGCCCGTTAGGATTATAGGCGTGAGCCATGGCACCCGGCCTTATAATTAACATTTTTCCTGATTGCGGTACATGTTTGCTGTGGAACGTTTAGAAAATGCAAGAAAGAAAAATGTAGAAAATTGGAATTGCCTTTATTCTACACACAGGGACACGGCCTTAACTTTTATTATGCCCAGCAAAGAGAGGAGCGCTTTTCCTTGGGACGATTCCATCGCCATAGTGTTGAGGCTGACCCTTCCTGGACCGCATCCTCACTCCACGACCCGAAGCGTTACTAAAGTTCATGAAGTTAACTGGACTTCTGAGTCACATTTGCGGGTTGTTCCAGGGAGGATCACAGGGGCGACGAGGGGTTGTCACGTTCCCTGTGGGTCTGTTTCCTCATCTTTTAAAGCTACTTCAGTGTTGACAGGGAAAAACATAAAATATTTGAGGTCAAGGATTTGTCTACAGAAACACGTTCTACAAAAACGCACCATACACGTTCAGAATTTGCCTTTCTTTTTTGGCCAGAAGGCACCCGAAACTCCGGGGCAAGTTCCGCACCTTCTCGGACTAGCAAAAGGGCGAGAGAAGTTCCCGCCCCTTTCACTTCTTCAAGTGCCTACTGGCTGATTCTGATGCTGTAAATCCCGCTGTCCTCCTATCACCGCCGCCGCTTGGTCTCCCGACCCCTGCTGTCATTGGTTTTTCCTGCAGTCGCTCTACGCCAGAGACGTTCTAGAGTCAGCCACTGGGAGGCTCTGGATTCGGGATTTAAAAAATGCCGGCGGAGAAGTAGCCCGGGGCGCGCTATTTGAACGCGAGGGGGCGCGGAAGTTAGCCGGATGCCGACTCCTCCGCGGCTCGCGGACCGGTGCTCCCCGGGTTTCCCCCAGACGCCAGTTTCTCGCCCCCGGACCTGGAAGCCCGAGCACTCAGAGCCGTGGGGCTGGTGGCCGGGACCCTCCGCGGCCCGCCATGGGCCCGCGCCGGAGACGCAAGCCCGAAACCCCGACGAGGCGCCCCGCGAGCCCGAGCCCCGGCCCCTCGCGGCGGGGCCCTTCCCTAGGTAAGTGCTGCGACCCAAGCCCCTGCGTCCCTCCTGGGAGCCTGCCACGGGAGTACGGCCCGCCCTCACCCCGTGACCCTCCTCTGCAAGGGGACAAAGCGGTTCAGCCGTCGGCATCTACTCGGGGCACAGCCAGGTGCCGAGCCCAGCGCGGGACTGGAGCGGGCAGTTCCGAAAGGGCGAAGGCGCCGGCCCAAGCAGGCTGGCTCCCAGCACCGTTTCCTCCTGTTAGCACAGTGCTAACGTTTACCCAGCGCTTACCCTTAGGCATCGTGTGAAACTATTTTCATGCGTTATCTCAACTTTTATCTCGTGCGCATTTACAACAGATGAGAACGGTGACTGAGACAGACCGGGGAACTTCATCAAAGTCACATAACTTGTTCTTGTACACACAAGATTTTTAAATATCTGTTTGTGCTTTTTTTAATTACAGAAGTATTGCCTGGTTTTTGTGACGATTACAAACAGTCCTACTCTTAGCAGTGTCTTTCAGAGTTTTTTTTTTTTTTTTCTTCAGTCAGTGGATTTATTAAACCTTGGACAAAGGCCCTGTGGTCACTGTTCACCTTGTTCTTTTCCAGAGGTTGTGTCCCTGGAAAGGGACAGGATCTGAGGTCTTTCCTGTCGGTATTGTGGGCTGGTGGATGGGAGACCCAAGGGCAGGAGGTGGCAGGTGCCTGTATGGTACATGGTGGCAACCGCTGCTTTACTTGTTTTCTGTCTTGCTGTGCAGCTGACAACAAGATGAAAAAAGCATATTGTAGGTTATTTTTAGATGTTGCTGTTGTGAATGGGATTGTTTTCTTTCCCAGGACTTAAGTGTTTAACCTTTGCATCCAGCCAAGTTGCCGAATTATCCTTTTTCATTTTTTTCCCCCTTTTTTGAGACAGTCTCACTATGTTGCCCGCAGTAGAGTGCTTTGGCGTCACAGCTCACAGCAGCCTCCAACTCTTGGGCTTAAGCGATTCTCTTGCCTCAGCCTCTCAAGTCGCTGGGACTACAGGCGCCTGCCACAGCACCCAGTTATTTTTTGGTTGTAGTTGTGTCGTTTGGCAGGCGGGGGCTGGATTCAAACCCATCAGCTCAGCTCTCGGTGTATGTGGCTGACACCCTAGCCACTGAGCTACAGGCATGGATCCTGAATTCTCCTTTTTCAGTTGGGACTTTTAGGTAGATGTGTGTATTATATCATCTGCAAATAATGACTTTTGAATCTTTCATTTTTACACATTTTATTTCCTGTTGTATGGTAATACAATTAGAGGCCCTAGACTCACTTAAGAGCAGCGTTGTGGCCATTGTTTTTCTGTTTGTGATTTTAGTGGGAATACTAAGTGTGATGTTTGCTGTTGCTCTTGCTGTTGTGATGTTTGCTGATGCTGTAGAAGCATCCTTGTACTCCTGTTAGTTGAAAAGTTTTATCTCAAAGGGCACATGACACTTCTTGGCAGTCCTACTGACCTTGTCTGATGAGCTTGCTTTATGTTTCACTTGATGACTATTTTTTTTTTGAGACAGAGTCTAAAGCTGACACCCTGGGTAGAGTGTTGTGGCGTCATAGCTCACAGCAACCTCCAACTCAGGCTCAAGCGATCCTCTTGCTTCAGTTTTTCTCTTTAGTAGAGACAGGGCTTGCTTTTTGCTCAGGCTGGTCGCGAACTCAAGCAATCCACCCACCTCGGCTTCCCAGAGTGCTAGGATTACAGGCATGAGCCATAGCACCCAGCCCTGTTATTCATTTTTAAATAGTCAACTTAAATTCCAATTAAGCTTTCTCTTCAACACAAGGGTTAATTAGAATTTTTTTCCGCGGCTCGGCGCCTGTGGCTCAAGCCGCTAAGGCGCCAGCCACATACACCTAAGGTGGCGGGTTCGAATCCCCAGCCTGGGCCCACCAAGCAACAATGATGGCTGCAATCAAAAAATGGCCAGGCATTGTGGCGGGCGCCTGTGGTCCCAGCTATTTGTGAGCCTGAAGCAGGAGACTCGCTTGAGCCCAGGAGTTGGAGGTTGCTGTGAGCTTGATGCCATGGCACTCTACCCAGGGGGATAGCTTGAGGCTCTGTCTCAAAAAAAAAAGAATTTTTTTCCGTATCAGATGTCTTTTAATTACTCATTAGAGAATTTGGCTTTTTTGATTTCTACTTTGGGAATGTTTTTAAGATTTTTTTTCTTTTCTGTTATGGGAACCAGGATTTGATCCAAAGTCTCTGATTCCACAGCCCAAGCGCCTGACCTGGCACTGAATTAGGCCTCCTGTGCTCCATCCACCTTTCTTCACCTTTCTGGACCTCAGGGTAGTCAAGACAAGGGAATTATACTGGATAATCTCTCAGATTCCTTCTAGCTGTGTAAAAACAAAGGAACAAAAACCCTAAAAACAAAATAACTGAGTTTTCAGTCTAGATGGAAAGAAATAAGATGCACAAAGTACTGTGGGGCCCAGAGGAGGGAAGGGACTCATCTGTTTGAAAGGAATCAGTATTTGGGAAAGAATTCATAGAATTAGCATTTAAAATAAACATTAGGCTCCACGCCTGTAACTCAGCAGCTAGGGTACCAGCCACATACACTGGAACTGGCAGGTTTGAATCCAGCCTGGGCCTAAACAACTACAACCAAAAAATAGCCAGGCATTGTGGCAGGCACCTGTAGTCCCAGCCACTTGGGAGGCTGAGGCAAGAGAATCGCTTAAGCCCAAGAGTTTGAGGTTGCTGTGAGCTGTAATGCCACAACCCTCTACCAAGGGTGACAAAGTGAGACTCTGTCTCAAAAAATAAATAAACCTTAAAGGATCATTCATTCATTTATTTAACACCTATCTACTAATTTTGAGTTGCTGAAGGTAACAATGAATAAAATAAACAACAATCCTTGTTCTGTGGAGTGTGGTTATGCAGTCTAACTGCTAGACTCTAGCAGTTTGATAGTTGGCCTCTCTCTGTCAAGCTAGGAGGCATCACCCATTTTCCACTCACTTCCCTTTTATGACCCAAATCTTTTGCTCAGGCACTTCTTCCCGAGGACATGGTCAGAGGAGACCTTTGTGGTTAAAGGAGATCCGAAAACTTCAGAAGAGCACAAACCTCTTGTTAAGGAAAGCCCCCTTCAGCCGCCTGGTGAGCTCCAGGGCACATCCCACCAATTCCCATGTCATGCTCCTTTAAATTTCCCAGGCATTGGGGACCCTGCTGTCTCTTACCTAAATGTTTGAGGGACCTCTTCTCTAACCTACTAGGAGACTTCATCTTCTGAAACATGAGACCTCTAAGGTCACTCTATAATTCTTTGTGGAATTAATTTCTCCTACTTTTGAAACTGTATTTGTGAAAATAGAAACTCTTTCCTTCATGCACTCTGTGATCCTTTTTCCTACCCCGGGAGATTGCCTTCTCATCTCTCTACCACTAATAAGAGATATGCCAATTTCTACACCCCCAGGAGTCAACACCTACTCCTATTTAGGTCCTAAGATTAAGGGCCAGAAAGGAATAATGGAAATGAGGAATCATTGGTCACGGAGAAGGCCCATCTTCTCCTGAATCTCTCTTCTGTTTCTCTCCTCCCTATCCCCACTCCTTCATAGACAAGAGAAATATGTGGTAAATTCACTCGTGGTGTGGACTACAATTGGCAAGCGCAGGCCCTGTTGGCCCTACAAGAGGTAAGAAGAGGTCAAGGCATAATTGGGTGAGGGTTGAGTGTGGAAGGAGGCAATCTTGAATTCTGCATGGCTCACTGGAATGTCGCATGCTGAACCTGGCCTCCTGGGAAAGAGCAACAAGGTAACTCTGGAGGGGTTGGATTCTGTGTGGTAGTAGCAGAATTCTTAGGCCAAGTTCAGTCTTGTTCTTTAAACAGTCTTTCCTATAGTCCTTTAAACCCTCAGAGATTAGGTTTAGGAGGTGTCTAAGAAAAATTAGCCCATTCTCCTTCCTGTGTATTTTTTTTCTTCTGTCTGCAGGCAGCAGAAGCATTTCTAGTTCATCTCTTTGAAGATGCTTACCTTCTCACCTTACATGCTGGCCGAGTTACTCTTTTCCCAAAGGATGTGCAACTGGCAAGAAGGATCCGAGGCATTCAGGAAGGGCTGGGCTGAGCTCCTACAACCAGCGTTTCTGTAAGTCTTTCTTGCTCACTCAGGGAGTGAGGACACTTTGGGGGAAAAACAACCAGGTTCTCAGCTCAGCTCCCGTAGCACAGGTTACGGTACCAGCCACATATACCAAGGCTGGTGGGTTCCAACCCAGCCCAGGCCTGCTGAACAACAATGACAACTGTAACAAAAAAACCGGGTGTAGGACAGGTGCCTGTAGTCCCAGCTACTCAGGAGGCTGAAGCAGCAAGAGAATCACTTGAGTCCAAGAGTCTGAGGTTGCCGTGAGCTGTGACGCCATGGCACTCTACCAAAGGCAACATAGTGAGACTCTATCTCAAAAACAAACAAACAAACAAACAAACCAGCTTCTCCTCATTGGAGTTGTAATTTCATGAGGAAATTTCTTTTCTCCATCTTTGGTCCCTTGCCACCTCACCTTTACTTTGTTCTCTAGTAAAGGTTGACCTAGTTTTTTTTTTTTTTTGAGATGAGAGTCTCACTTTATCACCCTTGGTAGAGTGCTCACAGCTCACAGCAACCTCCAACTCTTGGGCTTAGGCGATTCTCTTGCTTCAGCCTCCCAAGTAGCTGGGACTACAGGCACCTGCCACAATGCCTGGCTATTTTTTTATTGCAGTTTGGTCAGGGCCGGGTTCGAACCTGCCACCCTTGGTATATGGGGCCAGGACCCAAGGTTGACCTAGCTTTAATTTGTACGATGTTAGATAAAGATATTTTTTCTATTAAGTAATGACCAAATTTCTGATAGTTAAACTTCTCCATTTTGATTAAAAGAATATTTTCTTAGTTTTGAAAATGCTTTGTTAGTAAATATGCTTCCTGCATTTCAGGGGTGATGCAAGGAACTCTCTCTGGAGCCACAACTAGATCCAATGGAGTCTGAGGTGCTGCCTGGGCTTGGCTGTCTCTGAGCAGTGTGTGCATGTTGCTTTTTAAATTTTTTTTTTTAAAGAAGACTGCATGACTTTCCTCTGTAACAGAGGTAATTAATATATAAGATGATCAACCCAGTTCCAGAGGACTGAAAATTATTTTCCAATGAAGAGACTCCAAGGTTGACTTACTCATGTTACTATTTAAGGATTTTGGCAATACCACATTTGCTGTGTTATGGGAGAAAAGGAAATTTACTTGTTATTTTAGATCCTTCTGTGCAATTTACATCTTTTACTATTTGTACTTTTATTATGAAAATGAGGGAAAAAATAAGAGAAGCCCACTTTGATCAGTTGTATGGAAGGGCCCAGCAGGTCTAGCGTATATACCTCTGCCCTGCAGGTCAGCCCATCATCAGTGGCAGCATCAAGTTCCTTGGTGAGCTGCGCTTATCAAGTAATGTGTAGCTTTCAAAAGCTTAAATTTGGGTTAAATAGAAAATCTTTAAGGTTTGATGTTCTTATTTTTTCTAGTAAATGTCTATTAAAATTATTCAGAAATTGGGTGGCACCTGTGGCTCAAAGGAGTAGGGTGCCAGCCCCATATACCAAAGGTGGCGGGTTCAAACCCGGCCCCAGCCAAAAAAAAAAAAAAAAATTATTCAGAAAGTCGATAAGTATATTCTAAATGTAAAATCTAACATTCTTGCTTGTAAATCATAGAAGATTATCTGTCTAGGGTTTTAAAGAGATTTTCCAATGTTTTTATGGGTATCTCATAGCCTCTTTTAGAACAATAATAAAAATAAAATTTTTTGATGAAAAAAATTTAAATGAAGTTTCTGCAACAGCAAAGATTATACTGCATTTTCTGTATGCTAACATTAAGTTCTTCCTTTGTACACTGTTTTCAAATACCCATAATGTAAACGAGAATTGAGAGATGGTTTTGCCTCGGATAGAATAGTGTAAGAGCAAACAAAAACCTTGCCCTTGTGTTGTAAGCAGTTTAAGAGATTTCCAGAGAAGTGGGAAGTACCACCCAAAGATTTGAGATCTATGTGTGATGAAAGTGATTACTGAGGGCAGACTACTAATAATGATTTGACAATCAGCTGAGTTCATATACAAACTGGAGTTCTATTTAATAAATTTTAAGCCTTTGGAAAACCTCTTCTTGATTGACATCAATTTATATTTATGCAGGCATTCAAATAAAGCTTATCTATCCACGAATATACATAGATATGTAATTTTTTTTTTTTTTTTAGAGACAGAGTCTCACTTTGTTGCCCTCAGTAGAGTGTGTGGCATCACAGCTCACAGCAACCTCCAGCTCTTGGGCTTAGGTGATTCTCTTGCCTCAGCCTCCCAAGTAGCTGGGACTTAC